GGTACTGGGGATCGAACTCAGGTCCTTGCACTTGCAAGGCAGGCGGTGGAACCACTGTGCTAAATCCCTGGCTCATCATGTTTTTAATCACACCCCTTGAAGACCCTCACAAAAGAGAACTTTCAGAACTTTCACTTTCAGAAAGTGGCAACAACAATGGGATAGATGTGTTCAAAGCAAAGTAGAACATATGGAGGGGGCTTAATGGCAATGTGTCTTTTACAGTAATACATTCAGAGTGGTTTAATATTCACCATATTTTTCAGTCATTCTGTGTGGCTCCATGTGTTGTATTCAATGTTTTATTCTACTCTGTACACATTTCATTATGAATTTTTGAAGGCTTCTTGATTATTAAGTTTGAATCTATGTTATGAAAGTGTTTAATTCAGTGTCTTATTTTGTGGTCATTCATCTTAACTAGAAAGAGGTATGTTAAACTTGTACATTATTCATTCTTCCCACTAGGATGGCTGATTTGGTCTTTTGTGAACCAACAGAGCTTTACAACATCTTGAATCAGGTCACAAAACTGTCCAGATTAACTGAACCCAATTATCTCTGTTTATTTGGTAAGTACAAAAGCAAGCACACAAACAGCATTATTTTGACAGATTAACAAACTGTAGAAAGCTCTTAGGTTTGTTGGCTCAAATGCTACCTTTTATTATTACAGTATACGACTTTGAAATCATCCCAGATTAGCTCCAGAAGTTCTTAGAAGACTGTCTAGTCCTCTTGTTATTGCTTTAATGAACTATTTTAAACATCACATATGTAGTAGTATTAATGGACAGTCATGTACTTCTACTCAGATTTGATATAAGAAATAAAATATTACAAACACAGATATAACCCTCTTTTGTACCTCATTATGATTGCATTTTTCTCTCCTCATAGACAGCTGCTTCTGTATTTTTACATTTTTGCTACATATGCAGGTATCCCCCCAAAATAACAAGTGGTTTAAACATTTATACAAATGGTATTTTGCAACTTTGTTTGTTTGAAGTACTTGGAATTGAAACCAGGGTCTTTGCTCTGAGCTTCATACCTTTTTATTTCTTATTTTGAGATAGGGTCTCTCTAAATTGCAAAGTTGTCCAGGCTGGGTTCAAACTTGTGTTCCTGCTGCCTCAGTTTTCCACAGTGCATGTCTGAGATTACAGGGGTGTGCCGCTAGCTTGCCTTTTTATTTTTTGTTGAAAAACATATTTTTGAGTTTTTCCATGTTTGTATGCGATATCCAGTTAATTTATTTTAACTGTTAATTGCAATTTGTATCTGTTCCCAATCAATTGCAATATGTTGCTTGCATTGTGTTGCTATTATAAACAATGCTGCAGCGAACAACTCTGCACATCTTGCCTTATTCCTGTGTGTAAGTTTCTTCAAGATCAATACCTAGAAATGAGATTGCAAGGTGACAAATTCATTCACCAATTTATCATCAAATTAGCCTGCAAAAAAAATTAGCCTGCAAAAGAATTGTGTCATTTTAAATTCCCATCAACAGTGTAAGAAGTGCACTTTTTAATACCTGGCTTTGCCAGCCTTTAATATTTGTTGTAATCTGCTGCATATAACATTATATTGTGATGTTTTAATTTTCATTTCCATAATTAATAGAATTGAGCATCTTTTTATGTTTATCGATCATCTTGGTTTCCTTTTCTGTGAAGAACCTATTCCTATTTCTCTATTTTTCTATTGGGTCATTTGTCTTTTTTTTTTTTACTACTGAGGATTGAACCCAGGGACTTTATACTGAGCCACATCCTAAGGCCCTTTTGATTTTTTATTTTGAGACAGGTCTCACTAAGTCATTAAGTTACCCAGGCTGGGCTTGAACTTTTGGTCCTCCTGCCTCAGCCTCCCAAAGTGCTGGGATTATAGGCATGTGGCACCATGTCCAACTCTCTGTCTTTTTTAAAGGCTGAATAATATTCATATGCTCATCTGTATCTATCTGTATCTTGTGTTTCCTTTGTCCATTCATCTGTCGATGGACATCTAGGTTGTTTTCATATGTTGGCTCTTGTGAATAATGTAACATAAAAGTGAACATGGATATGCAGATATCTCATTGAGATACTGATTTAATTACCTTTGCCTGTGTACTCAGAAGTGGGATTGCTGGATCATATTGTAGTGGTGGTTCTAATTTTGTGGGGAAGTTTCTGTATTGCTTTTCATAAAGGCTGTACCTATTTACATTCCCCCAAAAACGTACAAGGGTTCCAGTTTCTCTCTCTCTCTCTTTTTTTTTTTTTTGGTACCGGGGATCGAACTCAGGACCTTGTGCTTGCAAGGCAGGCAGTGGAACCACTGAGCTAAATCCCTGGCCCTTGGGTTCCAGTTTCTCTACATCCTCACCAACGTTTATCTTTTGATTATAAATACTCGGATAGGTGTGAGTGGTAATGTTATTTTGCTTTTGATTTTGCATTTCCCTGGTTAGTGATGTTGAGGAACTTCTCATATGTTTTTTGGTGATTTGTATGTCTTGTTTTGAAAAATATCTATTCATGTCCTTAGCATGTTTGTTAAATTGAGTTACTTGGAGTTTTTGCTATTGAGTTCCTTATACATTTTGAATACATATAGCCTTATCAGATATGTAGTTTGAAAATATTTTCTCCCATTCTGTGGATTGTCTTTTAACTCTTTTGATTGCTGTGCAAAAGCTTTTTAGTTTAATGGAATCCCCTTTGTGTATTTTGTTGTTGTTGTTGGTCTGTGCTTTTGGTGTCATTTTCAAAAATTAATCACTGCTCAGACCAATATATATATATTTTTTTGGTACTGGGGCTCGAACTCTGGACCTTGCATTTGGGAGGCAGGCAGTGGAACCACTGAGCTAAATTCCTGGCCCAGCTCAGACCGATATTAAGAGCCTTCCTCTATATTTCCTTCTAGTAGCTTTACAGTTGCAGGTCTTACATTGACGTCTTTAATCCATTTTGAATTACAGGCATGAAGCCCCACACCCAGCTCAATTTCTGTCATTTTTGCAATGAAGAAGAAAATGTTTCACTCTAGCTTTTAGTCTGGAACTGCTATTACACTACCAGTTCTCTCCTCCACAGTCAGTGTTAGGGTCACATGGGGTCTACTGGGGTTTGTTTTACATCCCCAGTCCCTTCTCATTCTCTTGGCAGAAGTTTTACATTTTAACACAGTTCATCTTATCAATTATTTCTTTTATGGTTTGGAGCCTTTGCTGTTTTGTATCTAAGAAGTCATTGCTTGACTCTCATCTAGATTTTCTCCTATGTTATCTTGTAGGAACTTTATTTATTTATTTTTCCCCATTAATGAGGTTGGAGTTCAGAGCCTTTGCTCTGAGCTACATCTCCACCTTTTTTTTTTTTTTTTTTTTTTTTAAATTCCGAGACAGTGTCTCACTAAGTTCCTAACTTGCCTGGGCTGGGCTCAAGCTTGTGATATTCCTGCCTTGTAAGGCTCAGGGGGAATGGACATCACTGGAGACCCCTGCAGTAGGTCCCAGCCTTCTGTGAGCCACCACAGCACTGGTTAAAGGTTAAGGAATAGATGGAACGAGACTTACAGTGAAGCTGAGTCTTGGGACCTGGTCAGTACTGCTGATGGCAGCAAAGACAAAGGCCCCCAAGCACATCCAGTATTTATTGAATACAATCATGGGAAGGAATAGGGAGCTAGGGAGCTTTGAAATCATCTAGTGAATTACTGCCAAACACCTGGCATGATGGCGCCAGCCAGGGCTGTCAGGGCGTAGGCACTGCTTATCTTGCTAGGAGAGAAGAAATCGGTACTGGGACCAGGCACAATTAGCAAGCAACCCACAAGGTCAGTGACAAGCAATAGTTTAGGGGAAAGGATTTTAATTGGGGTCACGCTGACCTCAGCTGCACATAATTCAGCAGGGCCCTGCCACTTCACAGACTAGGACTTAGGCCTCGGTAGCAGCCATTAGCAAAGGAACTGACCTGCCTGTTTGAGTCACACAGGACTTTATATCAGGTCTGACTCAAGATATAATACAGTATAGGCGAATTAGGGAAGGCAAGAAGCACGTGCCACTCATAGCCTGCTAATACTGGGCAGCAATGTCTGCTACACTGCCTCAGCCTTCAGGGTTCTGGGATTTGAGTTCTGGCATTGAGGTCTGTGATCCCTTCTGAGTTAATTTTTGTGAAGGGTGTCAGATCTGTGTCTTTTGCCTGTGGATGTCCAGTTGTTCTAGCAGCATTTGTTGAAAAGGCTACTTTTCCTCCTCTGTATTACCTTTGGTCCTTTGTCAAAGAACAGTTGGATATATTTGTGTGGTCTGCTTTACTTCTGGACCCTTTGTTCCTTGATCTGGTTATCTCTTATTTTGCTAGTACCTTTGTCTTGATTAATGTAGCCTGAGGTTAGGCTGAGTGCTGAGGTTAGGTAGTGTTAGTTCTCCAAGTTTGTTTTCCTGAGTTGGCTGTTCTGGGTCTTGGGCCTCTCCATACCCATGTGGTTCTTACTTTCTGTTTGTGAATTCATCTTTTCATAGAGGTTTTGAAGGTGTCTCTACAGAAAGGTTTTGTGATTTATTCTAAGTCCTCAAAATTTCAATGGTCCTGAACAAGTTTTTGTGCATGAAACAGGCCTGGTTTCTCGTGGGCAGTTTTTTTTAACCCCTTACCTCACTTGTGAGTAGAAAATTTTGTTCCTTTTTCCACAAATAAGGGAGAGATTTTTCAAGTTTAAAGATTTATGTATCAGGCTAAATTCCTGTTCCGTGTTCCTCCCAACTGTAAGGAAGGCCAACACCAGCATTGTTAGGATGTCAGCTCATGCTTTCTAGAGTCTGAGTTGGGATCTAAAATTTATTGGGGTACTTAGCTCACTTTGCTTTTGCCGTGATATCTCCCCCATGTCCGCCTTTTTTGTTTTTGTTTTTTTTGGTACCAGAGATCGAACTCGGAACTTTGTGCTTGCGAGGCAGGCGGCGGCACCACTGAGCTAAATCCCTGTCCCCCCCCCATTCCCCTTTCTTTAGACGTCAGAAAACTCCTGCTTCTACCTCAAAAATACAGTCTCACTGCCCTTTAATGGGGTGTGTGGTTGCTGGTATGATGGGCGGGAGTTTAGGGGCAAGCAGCTCACAGTGAGGAGACTGCAGACTTCAGGATTCAAATGGACAGCAGCTGTCACCTACTGGCCAAGCAAATGTATCGTGATAAATGAGTTCCCTGAGTCCTTGGTCATGTGTTCCTTTGTGAATCCAATTCTAAATGAAGCACTTTCCTTCCCAGATGTTCGCTCCAAGTGGGAGTATGATGAGAGCCATGTGATCACTGCCCTTCACGTGAAGAAGGTACACAGGGAGTCAGAATCCCAGAATCCGGGGCAGGAGGAAGGGAAGAAGTGGGAGATGTCATGCTCCGGCCTGAGGCGGCCCCTCCTGGGACTCTGGGCAGCAGGGGCACTGTTGTCTGTGCTCCCACCCTGGTGTCCTCCATACCCTCCACACTCCCTGCCCAGCAAACACTGATGTCATTCCTTGCTGTGTCAGGCCCCATACCCCAGGGTACAAGATGCCCTTAGTCCAGTGTCCCAGCCCTCATGGAGCTTCTGTTCTCCTTGTTGAGCAGACCCCACACCATGGAGGTATTGACTATCTTTAAAGACAGAAGCCCTTCCTTTTCTTCCCTTCCTTCTCTCCCATTTCCCTGTCTCCATTCTGGCAAGTGGACAGCGCCCTGTGTCCAGGCACCATCTACCCTCTATGGTCCGGCCCCTTTTTCCACTCCTGCAGGTCATCCTCCCTCTCAAGTGGTTGTAGCCACAGCCGCTTCTAACCTCTGCAGCCCTGGCCACAGTCTGCCCTTGGCTTTGAGGATCTTGCTCACTTCTCCCATTTCTTCTCTGTCCCTTTGGTTCAGCTTTATTTTCTCTTTCTGCTGCCTGAAGATATCTGCTGCTCTTTCTCTCCTGTCAGGATACTTTCTTGCCAGACATTCCAGCCAAGTTTAGAACTTTAACTATCGTCATGCAATTAGGGGTCCTGTCAAGTTTGCTTCTAAAATCCGGTTTTGAAAATTCCCTCCTCCTCCCCTTTCCCCTTACCCCCGAGCTGTGTGCAGTCTACCTCTGGCCCTTTTTCTGCACGTAACTCAGCAGGGAGCCTGGGCCCTGGCTTAAGTATTTTTCCAGAATAGGCTTACTGCCTAATGCCCTCTTTCTTGTCCCAATCCATCATTTTCTGCTTTAATTCTCCCTGGATTTTCAATTCTCTGACTCTATACTCGAGTTCTTAACCCTCATTTCAGGCCTTTGTCTGATTCCGAATGCTCCATGATGCCTGGGCCTCAGTTTGCAGCTCAGCTCTCCGATCTGTGTGCCTTAAGTTCTGGCAGCACCCCTGGGTCTCTCTGGCTCAGTCCCTCAGAACCTCTCAGCCAAGGTGATTCCTTTTCCCTTGCCCCCTAACTTTCCAGTTAGCAGATTGAGGCCTTCGGGGACTCCCCACCCCTTCGGGATGTGAAGCCTCACAACTCAGGGTTCACAGCCTCCCTCTCTGGCTCCAGCTCTGACACATTTTTACTGTCATCCAGCACCTCAGTGATACTGACTTACATTTTTCCTTTCACATATTTCCCCCATATTTTAACTTTTTTGGAGGGATTGAGATAGGATCTCACTATGTAGCTCAGGCTGGCCTCGAACTCACTTCAATCCTCCTGCCTCAGCCTCCTGAGAGCTGGGATTACAGGTGTGCACCAACACACTCAGCCTTATTTTAACATTTTTTGAAGTTGGAACACATCCTAAATTAATTTGCACTTTTTTTTTTTTTGGTACCGGGGATCAAACTCGGGACCTTGCGCTTGCGAGGCAGGCACTGGAAACACTGAGCTAAATCCCTGGCCCTGTACTATTATTTTTTAAAGCAGTACTGGAGATTGAACTCAGAGCCTTTGTACTGAGCAACATACGCAGCCTTTCTTTTATTTTTTAATTTTTTTAAAATTTTGAGACAGAGTCTCACTAAGTCTGTAAGTAGCCCAGGCTGGGCTTGAACTTGTAATCCACCTGCCTCAGCCTCCCAGAGTGCTGGGATCACAGGCGTGTGACTTGATGTGTTAATGTTTTTTTCCCCCCACAGTGGGTGTAGCAGGTAACTGTTTTCCTGGCCACACCCCTCTTTTCTTGAGAGGAACTTTTCATCTCCCTGTTTAATCCATGGAATTCTGGTGGTGATCCCTAAAATAACAGCCAGATCTCTGGCCTTAGTGATTGGCCCTGGGTTGGGATGGAAACTGAGCCAATCAGAATTGGAATTAGAGAAGGGTGTGTCTTTCCAACTAGGCAGTGGAATTTGGAAGTTCTCTTACTGTACATAATTTATAAATTAAACTTTATCATAATTACATATATTTAGGAAGAAAGAGTATATATAGTGTTTGGTACTATGTGTGGATTCAGGCATCCACAGAGAGTGTCTCAGAACATATTCCCCAAGGTATGTATTGAAATAGTTAAGTCCCTCCCTGTGTGGGCAGTCCTGGTTACTGCCCTGGATAAATTGGTGACACATCTTACATCCATGATGTCTACAGTCTACTCTCAGTGGCTTCTGGACACACTGCTGTTTTGGGCCACAGTGCCTTTTTTCTGAGCACAGCAACCTATTTGCTTTGCTGGTCACTGTATTGCAACAGCTCACTCAGTCCCTGGCACATGGTAAGTGCTGGTATATGTATATGTATCTGTTAGCTACAAAAAGTGGTGATGTCACCCTTCTCGGGTAGCATCATTCCCTTCCTCAAGTGATCTGACCTCTCTCTAGGTAACCCTATCACCTAAGCAATTAGCATCTCTTTTCCCTGCCCTCTGATGCACGTTTTGATGACTCAGCCACTCCCTGACTGCCACTCACTAACTCCTGTCTACCTCATGGCCTGTTTGCCATTCATTCATTTAACCATCTTCATGGCCTACTATGCACCAGACACTGTCTAGAAGCTCAGGATGCATCGGTGACTGACACAGACTCAAGTCCCTGTGTTTGTAGGGCCTATATTAAATCTTGCAGTCCTCTCATGACATCTGATTGCTCATGACTTCTGCTTACCCATGCCTTCTGCTTACTAGGGATTGGGAATTGGTCCCTGTCAAGAGACAGGATGTCATGATTCAGCTGGGCATAGATACTTTGACGCCAGGGCACCCAAGAGGTTGTGGGCCCATTGATAGGGCAACTGCTCTTTGCTCAAGCACCTACCTCTGAGCCAGCCCTTTCCAGCCCTGTCCCAGCCACTCTTGATGCTTTCAGCCTTTAGGTTGATAGGAGAAGGAGCAGTCTTTGCCCCAAATGCCTTCTGATGTGGCGTGCTAGGAATATGTGCTCCAGCACGCCGCCTGCCATCGTGCTTCTGTGTGCTTCCCTTAGAAGGGCAATGAGTACCTCATCCCGGAATCTGTGGACCTGGAGTGTGTGAAATACTGTGTGGTCTATGATAACAACACTAGCTCCATGGAGATGTTTGTAAAAGATGCTGCATCCAATGAGGAGGAGGACGATGAGGACAACTGTAATGAGCATGGCCAAGGTGGGTTTTTCCGACAGCAGCAAGAATAACAGTTAACAGTCACCAAACACTGTTACCTGGACCAGGAGCTGTGACACCAGGTGCTTCACTTCCTTGCAGGACACTGAGTTAGCCTGCCTTGGCTGAGATAGGAGACTCCTGGATTAAAGACAAAGGACTGCATCATTTGGAGCAGTGGAAGGAGCCAGAATGTCATTAGTTTCCTGCACTGGTTCCCAAGCCCCAGTCTCACAGGGTGACATGGAAAGGGCCAGGTGATGCCCACAGTGGGTGGCATTACAGGGAAAGGACCCTGAGCCTAGGGGGCCCAAGAGAAGGGAGGACATGCTGTCATCCAAGCCTGTTACACAGATCTCCTGAAGAGGTGGTGCAGAACTAAAGCAGCCAGGGCTGCCTTCACAGGACATGCAGAAGCATGGGAGACCAAGAGCACTGTCTCCTAACACGTGTTGTCACCCCAGATCCCACACTTAGTGACTTAATTATCCATTGCTGTGAGACAGATTATCCAGAACTCAGCACCTGAAAACAAACATTCATTATCTTATTGTTTTCATGACTTCTGAATTCAAGGGGCCATGCAGGTGGGAGGCATGGGGTTTTTCTCCTAATCAAAATGTCTACCCAGGCTGCTGTCATTGAAGGTTTGGACCAGGATGACCCCAATCCAAAATGACTCACTGCCAGGAGCCCCTGGTTTTGTTCTGCTGGTTGCCAGAGGCCTCAGCTTCCCACCACAACTACTTCCCCATGGGATTGCTTGAAGGGCCCCCAACATGGCAGCTGGTTTCCTCAAGAGTGAGTGGTCTGAGACAGTGAGGTCTTTGTGACTCGGTCTCAGGACTTAATGTTCAGTCACCACCGTCACAGTCCAGTCATTAGAAGTAGGTCACAAAATCCAGCCCACCTTCAAGAGGAAAGCAGACAGCCTAAACTTTTAAGGGAAAGCATTTAGAAGAATTTGTGGATCCAATCCCAGGCAGCCTGGTGGGGTCCAGTCTCCCATGGCTGGGCCAGTGACACTGGAAAGGAACCCGAGACTGTAAAATGTGGCCAGTCCCCAGGTGCTCAGCTAAAATTGTGAGGCTCTGCTGTTCTTTTCAGCCCCTAGATTGGGAGTGACCACCCCTTGCCATTGGGTGGCGCTAAGCTTTTGCCATTGATGAAACCAGCCTTTGGGACTTCCATCCCAGGAGCTCCTTGGCCAGGAAATGTCCCCTTGGGCTCTGGTTTACAGTCCTAGGATTACAGGCTGGACCCTAGGGAAATGGATCCTTCAGGAAACCCTAGGGAACGGAGGTGAATAAAGATAACTCCTTTCTGTTCCCTAACTGACTCCACTCCATAGCAAACCACAGCTACACATACCACACAAGGTAACTTTCCTCACTTACAATGGCCTCTTTCAGGTAAATGCAGTCTTTTGGGTACAGGACCATTTCCGGGATTCTCTTACCACCTCCCTCTTAACAGTGAAACAAAACGCCATTGTGAGGCACTTGCTTCCTCTGTCCCAAGGAGGACAGGGAATAGAGGAGTCCTTATCACGCCCTAGAAGCAGATTTGAGGTTATGAGGTATTATGTGTGCCTGAGTCCTTAGCTGCCTGCCTTCCTGGCCGTGGACTACTGTCCTTGCTATGACCAAGGCTGAAGTGCCCACAGCTTGTGGAGGTCGTGAATGGTCCTCTGCACCTGGTGTGTATCCTCCTGGGCTGCTGGTGCCCTGGGTCCTGCTGCATCTCCCCACTGTTCAACAACTACCTCCTTTGCCTGGAGACTGCAGAGTTCTAGGGGGAAATGGAGAACTGGCTGGCTTCAGGAGGCTTTGGCCTGGGTTTTTTTTTTTAACCTGTGTCTTTTCCACCCTCCTCCCTCCCTTGTCTCCTTTCCTCCACTCCCCCCCCCCTTCCTCCCTTCCTTCCTTTTCTTCCAATCTTTTCTTTCCCTTCTTCCCTTTCTTCTCTCCCTCCTTCTTCTCCCCCCCCCCCCCCCTTCCTCCCTTCCTTCCTTTTCTTCCAATCTTTTCTTTCCCTTCTTCCCTTTCTTCTCTCCCTCCTTCTTCTCTGAGGATTGAATCTAGGGACACTTCACCACTGAGGTACATCCTCAGACGTTTTAATTTTTTTTGAAACAGGGTCTGACTAACTTTCCCAGGTAGATTTGAAATTGCAACTTCTTGCCTCAGCCTCCCAGAGTGCTGGAATATTAGGCGTGCACCACTACACCCTGCTCAACAGGTGTCTTTTTTCAGAGCTTTGTTCTTGGCTTCTGAGACTTTCTCTCCAAGCTGCACTCTCTTCTTGTAGAAGAGAGATTTCTCTTAATTTTGCATCATCCTTCCTTGCAGCACTATGGATTCTAGGTCCTCAAGCCAGGTTCTTGTTCCAGGAAAGAAGCTTTGGGGACTTCCTGTCTCAATGGAGCCTGACTTTCATGACCATTGGTTGGCTAAGGAACCCAAAGAATTTAACTTTAAGCCCCAACTCCCAAGGAGGGAGCCCCTGGCTCTGAGTGGTGTCCCCTCCTCTTAAAGCAGTAAGCACCCCAATTCAGAGTGGGAACTGCATGCCGAGAACTGAAAATCCATGGGAACAAAAACAAGTAGATTTAACCATAACTTGTTACCTCCTTCCATTGAAAAAACCCTGCTCATCCATAGTGAATGGTTACGGTGGCTGAAGCACATCCTCTTCTGAAGCCTGACCTCCCCTGAGTCTGCTTGGCAGGGTAGCCTGGGCTCTGCAGGGTTCCTGATGGTCACTTGATGGTCACTCAGAAGCTGTCCTCCCTCCCTGCCTCCAGCAGGCTTGAGACAGCAGTGGGAAGGGAGCGATGGCATGGCCCAGGACTCCCTCCCAGTTCCCCTGGGCCCTTGCACCCCAGTCTCTTGCTCAGAAGGGATGTGGCAGGTGCTGGTGACCCATTGCTGGACTCAAGTGTCTGAGCCAGGCCCTGGGGTGGGCTTTGGCTCCTGTCTCAATGCCTGCAGCTGCTCTCCCAGCCTGGTCCACATTCGGCCTCTCCAGACTTCCTGGAACCTGCAGGAAGCAGCCTAGTTTCCTGAACAAAGTGCCATGTGGAAGTCAGGTCCTGACTCCTCCTGAGGTTGCTATTCCAATATTTCTTTTTCTGGGTCAGATCTTGGATCACAGCATCTTGACTTAGCCTTAATGATGCCTGTTTAGCATGTGGTCTGATGGTCATTCTGCAGATCAGTGGTGGTGTTTAAGGTTGAATTGCTGTCAATGCCACAATGGCTACTGCTTCATACCCTCTGAGATGGCCATAATAAAGACAGGTGGTAACTGGTCTTGGCACAACGGGGAGGAATTGGAACTTTGTGTACTACCACCCAGAATGACCAGAGAAGCCACTGTAGCAAACAGTTGGTGTTCCCTCAGAGGGCTAAGATGCACACTCCAAAGAAAGGAAAACACATCCACACAAAAACTAGTACCATGTTCATAGCAACATTATTCACAATAGCCCGAAGTGGAAAAAACATAAATGTCCATCAGCAGATTGGGTTAAACAAAGTGGTAAAGCCACACAAGGGAATATTATTCAGCCACAGAAAGGACTGCGGTATTGATACAACCTGAGATAGAGATGAACACCAAGGAGATTATGGTGCCTGATAGAAGGATAGACACCGAATCTCACACATTAGTGATACGGTTCTGTTTATATGAAATGTCCAGAATAGCCAAATCCATAGTGAAATTATTTGGTTAGCTAGATCTTGGAATACCTAAAGCTGGGAGTTTAAGACGATGGAGAAGTGCCTGCTAACTGGAATGGGGTTTCTTTTGAGGATGATGAAAATGTTCTAAAACTGACTGTGATGATGGTTATACAACTCAGTGAATACACTAAAAACCACTGAATTGTATACTTCAAATGGGTGTTTGCTGTACAACCATATATCCAAAAAAATCCACTTGGTGATTTAAAAAAATTTAATTATGCCATTTTTCTCTATTTACCCTTGCTTCAGCTTTCTAAATAATTTCTTTTCAGAGGAAGTGGCTGTCTACATGTCAGCGCTAGACAAGTGTCAAGCACACAGGGCATTTACCTCTTTGGTCTCCACCCTTAGATCTGGTGTGTGGAGCAGCTGTGGAATATGGCAGAATCCTCATCCAACTCACCCACCACCCAGTGTATATCCTGAGAGGGGGCTATGAGCGCTTCTCTGGCCTGTATCACTTCTTCCGGACCCAGAGGATCATCTGGATGCCCCAGGTGAGACTGAAGGCTGAGTACCACCTGGTTCAGTTGGGAAGTGTGGCTGTGTGGGGGTAGGGCAGAGAAGGAGACAGAGCATGTGGAGGAAGTGGAGGAGACCAGGTAGCCAGGGGCCAGCCAGGGTGTTCAGTTTGTGATGATGAATGCATGGCTGTCGGTTATGGCAGAGATATCCTACGGGGAGTTGTGGATGGGGCTTCGAGCCCAAGTCAAATGGGCAGGGCCTCATGACTTGAGACTTCCTCTCCACTCTTGGCTATCTGGTTCTTCAAACCCTAGCTGGGTCCAAGGGATCCAGAAAAGTGTGAGCTGTTGGTCTGTAGGAAAGAAAGTGGTTATAACAAGGGTGTTGGCCAAGGGAAATGCCAGGTCCCTGAAGGTGAGGTATTTTCAAGGAAGCCCAGGTACTGGCTGCCCACTGGTTTGCAGGCAGGGATGTGTCTGGAGGGTGGTGCTTGTGCGTCCATGTGTGCGTGTGTGTATACACATGTGTTTGTATGTATGGGCATGTGTTTGTACTGTATCAGAGTCTGAAGCACAATGGGATTTAAGCACAAAATGTTTTTGTTTTTTCTAGCATTTTCCTTGGACTGTTCTTTGGTTCTTGGGCAGATGCCATATTTCCTGGAAATTTTCAGTTATGAAAACTTTCAGTCTAAGTCAGTGTACAATGATTGGGGAAATGTGACTAAAGTGAAGTATGTATGGGTGCAGCTATGTTTAGAATTTCCTTCAAACTAATCAAGTGTGGATTGGGGAGTCAGAAGGGTATAGATGAAATAAAATTGGCCATGAGTTTATAATGTTTAAAGCTGAGTAACAGAAGTACTTATTATATTAGTCTTTCTACTTTTGAATGTTTTTGTAAATAAAGGAAACAAAAAAGAATAATTACAGTAAAAGCCAGAGCAGTTTAACATATCAGTCTCAAATCTCATCTCTTCTTGTCCTCCAGAGCTGAGCAGCCTTCATTTTGTTGGGGTCCTCGGTGTGAGGAGGGGTGTGGGATCGCTTCACATGTCCAGTAGGAAGGACGTTGCCCTGACCCCTCTTCGAGCCCCTTAGATGTCAGGGGACCCAGGGTAGGGCCTGTCTTGTGTGGGTGCTGTTCTCACTCTGGCCCAGTCGTCTGTTTGGGGTGCTGCTCATGGCTTCTGCTGCTGGGTTTCTCGGGGTCCTACTCAGCCTCACCCTGGCCCCTTCTGTTGCTGAGGATCTCTTGGAGTGAGCCAGACTCTCCCATCCCCTTCCAGGAGTCCCCACACTCTCTCCCATCCCTGGGGAGCCCTGACCCCCCCATCCACATCCCCTCTCCTCCATCCTGGATGGTCCGCAGGGAGTGTGCTGGTGGGGAAGGGGCCCAGAGACCTCCCAAGCCCCTCCTCGTCCTCCTGGCTCTGCTCCCCAGCTAGCCTGTGTGATAAGGTAGGGCCTTGTGTCTGAGGTCGCCTGTTCCCACATCCAGAGTGGACATGCCAAGCTTTCCGAGGGCTTCCCCCTCCTTCCACTAAGAAAGCAGCACTTTGGACTTCAACTTGGCAGGGTCCAGCCGGTCTCCCATCCAGGGCATCTCCTTGTTCCTGGAGCACCCTTCCCCCTGCCTGTTAGCTTTGTAGGCTGCAGTGGGATTGATTTCTCTCTGCAAACATCACACTGCTGATAAGTTGTCATCCTCATGCCTTGTTTAAAGCTTCAGGGAGGCATGTTTGATGTCAGATGAACTGCAGGTACTTACAGTGCAGCATGGTCAGTTCTGATGTGTGCGCACACATGACTTTCCCTGTCCCTTGTCGCCAGCCCCATGTGATATGGGAAGGAGGGGACTTGTGGCTGGTAAACCACCTGAGGGCTGGGTGGGCAAGTTGTAGCCCTTTCTGCTTGTGTCCATCTTGAGAACATAGTACTTAGCATTTGTCACTCCCTGCGAGTGACCTTTGCCATCAATCTAGGAGCCAGGTTTTACCCTTCCTTTGGGATGTGGGATTGACCAGACCTGAGGATGTGGGAGAGGGAGGAGACTGGACTGAGGCCTTGGCTGTGGTGCAGGTGACAGGCAGGCAGTGGTATGGTTCGTTGGGATAGGAAATCCTGGGGCAAGGAGGCACTTTTGGGAAAAGACAATCTCAGTTTGGACATGTTTGCTGGAATACCTTTTGTTTCTATTGTGTCACCTGTCATTGTCAAAGCAGGTGCTTTGAGAAGACACTATGTCTATCCACGTCACACCCTCTTCCCAGCCAACCCAGTGCACCACAGAACAGGAAGCTGATTTGCAATATAGCAGGAAGAAAGTTGATAGATGGGTTGTGGGCATTTATTGAATTTTTCTCCAGTGGAACACATGGTTCCAGTAAGCTGGGCACGCTGGGTAGAGTCAGCCCAGGCTCCATAGTGTGCTTTGGGCTTGCCTGCAAGCAGTGGTATGTGTGGACTTCAGTATGCTTATATTTAAATGCTAGTCTTCTTGTTGCTACCTCTTCATACATTCAGTCCCTTCACTAGGATTCATTTCCTAGTGGCAAATAGGCTGTATGTGAAGAGTTTTACTGTGTGTTTTTAAGGTGTTTAAATTCTGATGCCCTCCACGGTAACAAAAGGACTAGTGCTCCCCTTCCCACCTCACCCCAGCTGGACACATTCTGGGTTGTTGAAGGTTTGGGCCACAGGGTCCTTGAGTCCATCATTTGTGTGCATGGCCAGGTACAGACAGGTGCCAAGGAGTGCACGGATGCCCTGTGAAGCCATGTTTCAGTCCTTCTGCTATGACTGGCCCTCTCACTCCTCATCCAAGTTGTTCTTTCCCAATCTCTTTGAAAGACGTGCACTCAGCCTCATTCACTGTCCTGGGGTTCCTCTTCTATGCTCATTTGTGGAGCCACATTTCAAGAGACAGTCTATGCTCATAACAGCTCTTTTCTGTCCCCATCCCAGGAACTGGATGCATTCCAGCCATACCCTATTGAAATAATCCCAGGCAAGATCTTTGTGGGTGATTTCAGCCAAGCCTGCAACCCTAAAGTTCAGAAAGATTTGAGAATCAATGCACATGTCAATGTCTCCATGGAGACCAGTCCTTTGTAAGTAAAAGAGATACTCTTGATTTTTTTCTTTAAGGAGAAGTATCATTTCTTTACTCAAGTGTCCTAGTGCCATGCATCTGAAAAGTCAAAAGGGGCTCGTGGCAGTCTGCACACAGTGGATCAGGGACAGCACTGATTTTTACCTCTGCCTGCCTGGCCTTGGTGTTCTCTGTCCCTAAGTAGAACCTCACACTGTCCTCTAAATCTTAGCACAAGTAGAGATTTCCTGGTATTTAAGGTCTTGGTACAAAGTGTCCTGTTCTACTCTGATTGGCCTGTTTCCAGGTCCCTTAGAAATTCCTCCTTGCCTCAGAATTGCCCTGGTGCCACACATGCACACGAGCATGTAGGCACACACACACACACACACACACACACACACAGTGACACAGTCTCATTGTTCAGTGGGCAGGGAAGCACTGCACAGCCTTACTTATCAGCCTCTGTCTTCTAGCCATGTCCAGTTTTGGTCACCAAGACCCAGCCTGTACACTCTGCCCTTTCCAGTCCTAATCAGTTAATAAAGACTCACCTCACGTAGAATTTCTGGAAACAACACAAGAATTAAGCAAGGCATCTGGTAATAAAAAAAATACCACATAAAACCAATAAATTTGTTTTATGGTATAAAAACAACAATGAGTAGAAAAAGAAAAGACCCAATTTGTAATAGACAAAAAAATACAATACCTAGGAGTAAACTTAAGAAGGGCCTATAAAGCATTTTAAGAGGGGGAGATTAAAGGACAGATAATAGGAAGAGATTTTTAGATAGGAAGCCTAATGTAATGAAGAAAATTCTGTCTAAATTAGCTTATGCATTAAAAAAGATCTCAATCAAAAAGTGAATTACTTATGTGCAATTAGGCAATTTATTCTTAAAATTTTACATAGAGAACTAATTTGTGGTGAATAAGGATGAGGAGAAAAGGCCAGCCTTTCAGCAAGAACAACTAGAAGAGGCTGGACAAAATATAAAAATTTCTTCTGTGTTATGTACTAGAGACAGGCAAAGCAGTGAGGAATTCATGGGCGAAACCTGGGAGGAAGAAGAAAACTGGAGAGATGAGGCCAGATATTGGTGCTGCTTCTTCATACAAGGAGCCTGATGATCTTGGAAAGAAAGAAAGAAAGAATAAAGTAGAAATGATATCTGAGAAGAAAATGACTGTTTCCAAAATTGATGAGGTACACAATGCCACATATTCAAGAAGTTTCATGGGCTCCAAGCAGGCTAATGCTGAAAGAATCACCTCTCGTAGTAAGACTGCTGAAGACTAAAGAGAGAATGTAGTAAAAACACCAAGCAAAAAGACATTTTCAGAGGAGTAATGTTGACTGATTTTTGAAACTAGAAGAACACAGAATGCATGTTTGTGATGGCAGCACAGAGGAGTCCTTACCTCCTGGTTGTGGTTGGATGTGGGCTGCACTGACAGATCCACCTCTAAGGACTACCATAAAGTGAAAAGTGATGGCCACTTCTGAGATCAGATGACTTGAAGCTGTGAGTTGCCCCATGGAGAGGTTCACAGAGCAGGAAACTGAGGAAGACTTCTAGACAACAGCTAGGGAAGAACTGAGGTTTTCAGCCCAAAAGGTCACAAGGAATTGAACCCTGCCAGTGACCATGTGAATTAGTGTGGAAGCAGATTCTTCAGCTGAGCCTTCAGATAAAACCCAGCCAACACCTTGACTGTCTTCTGCTTGACTATGTATTCAGCTACGTACTTATAAGCACATGCATGTGAGAAAACTATTAAAGTTTGGGGCATAATCACTAGGAAGGAACAGATGGTACAATCCCAAGATTACATGGGGCCAGGGGCAGTTTGTATTTCAGGCCAGAGTGAACAAAATGCATACTATATTCAGGCATGGTGGCACATGCCTATTATCCTAGGATTCTGGGAGGCTGAGACAGGAGGATCACAAATTCAAGCCCTGGGCAATTTAGTGAGACCCTGTTTCAGAATAAAAATACACACACACACAAAGGCAAAAAGCTGGAAGTATCTCAGTGTGAAAAACTTGGGTTTAATTCCCAGAATCAGGAAAATAACAACAAAAGAAAGTGAAAACCCCCTATATACAGCGTGTCAACTAGAGTACTCAGAACAGCATTGTCTCAGCAGTGAAAAAAACATTAGCTCTGGACTAGGGTAGAAAATACAGTGACTGACGTGAAAAGTGTACTGGATGGAGTTAACAGTGGATGAGACCCTACAGAAGAAGAAATGGGCAGCTTTGAAGACATAGCAATAGGTAGCATCCAAAATGAAACACAGAAAGGAAGACTATGGGAAAAAAAATGAACTGAGCTTTGGTGGTGAGCTTGAGACAGCTTCCAGTAGCCTAAGCTATGTGTAATTTACCTCCAAAGAGGAGGAAATTGAAGAAACAGTGAGCATAGTTAAAGATGCAATGGCTGAAATGTTTCCAAATTTGGTATAACCTGTAAAGGAATAGAATCAAGCAGAACCCAAGCACAGAAATACCTATATAAGGAAAATTATATGAAATTGCTTAAAACCAGTGAGACAGAAAAAATCCTAAGAGCAGATAGACCATATTAAATATGAGCGAACAAGATCAGGATGGTAGTAGACTTCACATTGGAAATAATGAAATTGAGAAGACTGTGAAGCCCTGAAAACAACAACAGCAGCAACAACAACAACAACAGCAAACCAACAAAAAACAAAAAACCTGTGGGCCTGTAATCTAAGACTAGTGAAAATATCTTTCAAAAAAGTAAAAAAAAATTTTTGGTGTGCAAGAGCTGAATGAATTCATCAGTGACCATCTTGTACTACAAAAAAATGTAAAAGGAAGTCCTTTGGGCAGAAAGAAAATAGTACCAGTTGGAAATCAGAGTCCTTACAAAAAGAATGATGATCTCCACAAGTAATAATTATGTGGATAAGAATAAAATACTTTGCCGGGGATTTAGCTCAGTGATTCCACCGCCTGTCCTGCAACTGCAAGGACCCAAATTCGATCCCTGGTACCAAAAAAAAAAAAAAAAAGAGTAAAATACTTTCTCCCTTGTTTTAAAATCCCTTCAAACCGAGCGTGATGTCGCATGCCTGTAATCCCAGCAACTGGGGGACTGAGGCAGGAGAATTGCTGTGAGTTCAAGGCCAGCCTGGGCTACATAGTGAGTTCAAGGCCAGGGTGAACTACACAGCAAGACCCCATCTAAAAAAAAAATCCCTTCAAAAGGATAATTGACTGCTTAAAGAAAAAATAATAACAACGTATTTTGGGGTTATAGTATATATAGAAGTAATTTAGGCCCACAAAGGCAAGAAAAAGGGAATTAGAAGCATACACTTCCAAAGTTCTTATAATATTTTCAAGAAGTATTTTATATTACTTGAAGGCAGACTGTAATGTTAAAAGATACATTCTATAAACTCAAATGCAATTGCTGAAAAATAAACTCCAAAAATATATAATGAATAAAATAGCAAGAAAGATAAAATGGAACTGTAACAAATAATTTCAAAGGCAGAAGAAGATTAAAAAAAATAAGAGGTTCCGGCACCTGCCTTGCAAGCGCAAGGTCCTGAGTTCAATCCCCGGTACAAAAAGAAAAAAAAAAAAACAACACAAGAGGTGAGATCAATAGGAAACAAATAGCAAGATGATAGATTTCAACTAATAATCACAATAAATATAAATAGTCTAAATACCACAATTAAAAGGAAGAGGCCATAACCTGCCTAAAAGAATATTCTTTAAATATAAAGATAAACTGGGCATGGTGGCATACACCTTTAATTCCAGCACTTGGGAGGCTGAGGCAGGAGGATTGCCACAGTTTGAGATGAGCCTGGGCTACATAGGAAGTTTGAGGCCAGCCTGAACTACAAAGCAAGACCCTATCTCAAAAAAAAGAAAAAAAAATATATTCTCAATAGAATATGTAATATCTTTGTCATGCTGAGCCATAAAACAAGAACCATTATAAAAGTTATGTTCTCTGATAATGAAATTATATTAGAACCAATAATATCTTTATCTGAAAAAACCCAAATGTTTAGAAATGAATAACACACTTATAAGTAATTTATGGGTCAAAAAGAAATCAAAATGAAATTACAAAGTATTTTGAACTGAATGGAAATACAAACACATGTGTTAGACAGATTTTTGTCACTATGATGAAATACCTGAGGGAGGAAAAAAAAGAAGTTGAACTTGGTAGTGCATGGCTGTGACTCCAGTACTTTGGGAGGCTGAGGTAGGGAGATCAAAAGTTCAAGCCCAGCTGGGGCACTTTAGTGACTTAGTAATACCCTGACTCAAAGTAAAAAGGCTGGAGATGTAGCTCAGTGCAGAGCCCTGGGTTCAATCCTTAGTATCAAAAAAAAAAAAATTTATTTTGGCTCATGGTTTCAGAGGTTTCAGTCCATGGTCTACCAGCTCCAAGGTGGAAACATCATAGTGGGAGGGCGTAGCAGAGGGAAGCTGCTCACCTTGTGTCAGCCAGGAAGCAGAAAGTGAGAAAAGAGCTGAGGACCAGTTACAGTCCTCAAAGTCATACCACATGAACCACTCCTTCAACTGGGCCCCACCCCTGTTTCCATCACCTCCCATTAATACTATCAAATTATGACCTTGTCAATGATTAATCCACTTGATGGAGTTAGGAGCCTCTTGCCTGAATCACTTCCTTAATACCCATCAGCAGCCAAGCATTTTTTGGGGGTATAATATCTAAACCATAATACCACATGTCAGAATTTTTTTTTTTTTTTTTTGGTACCAGGGATCGAACTTGGGTCCTTGCACTTGCGCAGCAGGCAGCAAAACCACTGAGCTAAATCCCCAGCCAACACGTCAGAATTTTGACATGCACCTCAACCACTGCATAGAGGGAAATTTATAACCTAAATGTCTGTAGCATAAAAGGAGACTCTCAAGTTAAAGACCTTTGCTTCCATCTTTAAAAATTATAAAAAGTAAGCAAGAGAAAGGAAATAACAAAGATAAGAGTAGAAATAAAAAGTGAACAGCACAATTGAGAAAATCAATGAAAACCAAAAGCTGTTTCTTAAAAAGATCAATAAAACTGATATGCCATTGTCAAACTGATCAGAAAAGACGGAAGACCAAAAAAATACCAATATTTGGTAAAAAGGAAAGGTCATCATCTTCATCATAGATTCTGTTGCTATGAAAAGGCATTCTCTGGGCACTTACTCTAGAGAGATGAAAACATATTTACTTCAAAACCTGTGTGTGCATGTTCCTCGCAGCTGGCCTGTGGTGTAGTTTGACACACTGGTACACATATACCTTGGAATTCTCAGCAATGAGAAGAACAAACTATTGTTATACACAATCTGAATCTCCAGGGAATTAATGCTGAGCAAAATAGAAAATACCAAATCTAAAATGTCACGTGATATATTTTCATTTAAATAAGATTTTTGATATGACAAAGTTTAAGAGTGGAGGCTGGCCGGGCATGGTAGCGCACATCTGTAACCCTAGCACTCAGGAGGCTGCGGCAGGAGGATCGCTGCAAATTCGAGGCCAGCCTGCGCTGCATAGTGAGTTCAAGGCCACCCTGAACTACATAGCAAGACCCTGTCTCAAAAAACCCAACAAAACAAACCAATAAAAAACCCCAAATGCACTTTCTACCTGCTGATGGTATATAGAAACTCAACTGGATTTTATGTATTTATCACGAACCCTTCAGTCTTCTCTCAAATGTCCCCTCCATTGTGAAGCTCTCTCCTCCTCAGTATTAGCTCAACACCTAGTCAATTGGACTGGGGTGTTTATGTGTCTGCTCCTCCATAAAAATGGGAGATCCGGGCCAGGGATTTAGCTCAGTGGTTCCGTTGCTTGCCTTGCAAGCACAAGGACCGGAGTTCGATCCCTGGTACCAAAAAAAAAAAAAAAAAATGGGAGATCCGGGCCAGGGATTTAGTTCAGTGGTTTCACACCTGCTGCACAAGCACAAGGACCCAAGTTCAATCCCCGGTACCAAAAAAAAAACAAAAACAAAAACAAAAATGGGAGATCCTTGAACCTGGGAGGGTACAGCCCAAGGTCTGTGCACTAAGTGAATATTTGAGGGGTGGCTGGCTGGGGAGGGAGGCAGGGAGGGAAGGATGCAGAATTGTGCTTATACTCATCTCAGTGAGTGCTCCTCAGGAACCACATGCCACAGTGCTCTGCATACTCCTGAATGTCAACAGCAGCCTGGGGCCTTCATGTGTACCATTCATCAGGTGCTTATAGCATGCCAGGCATTGTGCCAGGCTCCTCACTGGCAGCCATATACCTTGTGGCCCTCTTCTCTCTCCCTTGTCTAGGAAGCTCAGCTACTCTGATTTCTCTTTTGTTTCTCAGATCTGTTAACCACGTTCCTTCTTGGGGCCTTTGCACTTGCCTCCTGCATTACCTGGAAAACATCCTCAGATACCTGCTGGGCTCATTCCCTCACCTCTGTCGCGCTGCTCCAGTGTCACCTTGGGAAAGCCTTCTCTAACCCCTGAACCTACAACAGCCAGTGCACCATCTCCATCCCTCGTTTTGCTCTCAACACTTGGCATACCAGGCTTGCCCTCCAGGGTCATTAGCTATGCTTTCCCATCCTCATTCAATGATTTTATACCATGTTCTAGGGAAGTACCATGTTTTGGGTTAATAATAATCATGTCACATTTACTGGGTGCCTCTTATGTGCCATCCAGGTTGAAAATGCCTTCCACAGACGAACCCACTCAATCCATATCACACTACTCTCTGGGAGAAGCTCAGTGGCTTGCCCACACCTCCTAGATATCTGCCCCTGGTCCTTCCCCTGTGGTCCTGCAGTGTAGATGGGGGGATGCCACAAGAGGGCTGTTGGTAAGTCTGCCCAGTTACCTGTGTTCTTCTGCTTAGTTTCGTGGATGACCCTGACAGGCTTCTGCACATCCAGATAGAAGATTCCTCAGAATCCAAGATTTTGCCCTTTTTACGCTACCTCTGTCACTTCATTGGTAAGGAGCACTCCCTAATCCGATGGTGACTTGCATGTGCCTAGGAGGCAGAAGGCCATGGTGTCTCCTCCTCATGCCTATCCCTGGCTGTGACTCCCAGTGCTCAGGGCAGGGAGGGCAGGGCCTACCCATGCCTGGCCCAATATGGATAAGCCCTGACCATTGTGAGCAGCCATGACGCTTCCCTTGGGGGTAGTGCGGTCCAATGAGAACATGATTGTGGGCCAAGTGCCCTGTATTCTGGCCCTGGCTAGACTGCCACACCCTTTGGATTGTGGGTGTGCCTGTCACGGAGGGCTGTGCTGTCCTGGGCTCCGGGGGCCTGGAGTGCATCTCAGTCCATCCCTGCGTCCAGCCCTAGTCAGCCCTGTGAATGGGGGAGAAAGATTCCCAAGGCCTTTCCAGCCCTGACATCCACAGTGCCCCTCTCTGCCCTCCACTGCACACAAGTGATACCCACCAGCTGCTTGACTCAGCGAGAGTGGATCTTCAGTCCCCCCAGTCTTGGGATTGTCTGGGGGAGAGCAAGATCCCTGGGGGAGCAAGGCTGAGTCAGGCCAGAGGCCCCACCCCATGCTTCCAGCCTGGCACCAACATGGCCCCCAGCCTGAGCAGCTGAATGACCAACCGGAAACGGCACTGTAGTCCTCTGTCCCTTATTTGCCCAGATCACCACTGTCACTTGACTAAGACCCGAGTCTCAGATTTCTGTGTGCCCTGCCCTGAGATGGCAGAGCCTTGTGGCATGCAGAGGCCTCTCCCTACCTCACCTCTCTGGGTAGCTCTAGGCTGATCCTTCACTGATTGTGCCTCAGTTTCCTCATCTGTGCCATGAGGGAGTTGGCCTTAATCATCTCCAACTCCTCTTCCAGCTTTGACAGTCTGACTTTTTTGCACTTGGTATGTTTATCCTCAGTTCTTGGGGGTTCCCAGGCCAGCCTGGGAAGGACTCACAGCCTCAGGGGTTACAGGATTAGAGCTGGTATTTCTATGCCAGGCATTGGCCTAAGTACAGAATAGAATGAAACCCTGTGGGAGAGGAAGGTAGTATGTTATTAACATGCTCTCCAGATGAGGAAACTGGCTTAGAGGAACTGGCCCGCATCTGGCCTGCACTGCCTCTGCTGGCACCTGGTGTCCTTGAGTGGTGGTCCTGTCATCCTTACGCCGGCTGGTGGCACAGCCTCCTGGGTGAGAAGCCTGGATGCTAGGAAAAGGTCTTGGCCTGATAAAGCCTGGTGCCAGGCAGGATTCTCTTGAGCTGCCAGCCAGGTCTGAGGACCCTCTGTGCTGGCCAGACAGTGTCCCAGAGAAGCCATGTGACTCACCCAGGACCTGGTGCACTTGTTATGAACTCACTCTTGGACCACAGGTCCATTGAGGCCAGCGTTCTGACAGCCACCCAGTACCACAGGGAAGAGGACTGTGTACAACTCCAACCCTTCCTCCCTTCTTTCCTTTTGCAGAAATTCACCTCCACCTGGGCTCTGTTGTTCTGGTCTTTTCCACGCAGGGTATCAGTCGCAGCTGTGCAGCTGTGGTGGCCTTCCTCATGCACAAGAATCAGGAGACCCTGAAGGTACGTGTTTCCCCTACCAGGCTTGGGCCACAGCCAACCCCACGAGGTAGAGTCAGAGCTGGACCTGGGAGGGACAGGATCCCAACCATGCCTGGGGCCCTAGTTGGACGTGGGAGGAGGAAGAATGAGGGAGAGGAATCCAAACCTAGGGTGCCTGGCACCCAAGGGCAAGGTCCCAGTGCTACAGCCTGGAAGGCTGAGGCTGGATACACAGGGCTGGCTGGGACAGGCTATGGCCAGCAGCATGTCGGTATGGCTCCCCCACTGCCCCTGTGTCCACTAGGTTTGCCTGGAGTTTTCCAAGAGAAAACTACTTGGAGTCACAGGAACTGCAGTGCTGGCAAGGGCTCAGAAGGTGTCCACAGAAATAATCTTCCTTCATTTTGAGAGCAGAGCCCAGACAGGGAGGAGAAGAAGGGAGCCATCCTGCAACCCCAAGGAGAACCTGTTGCTCCTGCCTCCCAGGCAGTGCTTTCTCAGGGGGCAGTTCTTGGTCTTAGAGCAGGGGTCCCCCTCTCCCCAGGCCACAGACTGGCAGTGATCCATGGTCTGTTGGGAGAGGTCACACAGTGGAAGGTGAGCATTGGGTAAAGGAGTGAAGCTTCATCTGTGTTTCCTGCCACCCCCATTGCCTGAGTTCCGCCTCCTGTCAGATCAGCAGTGGCTTTAGATTCTCATAGGAGTGCAAACCCTACTATGAACTGTGCAGGTGCAGGATCTAGGGCACAGACTCCTTTGACTCATCCCCAAACCATTATCCAGCCCCAACCTCTGTCTGTAGAAAAATTGTCTTCCATGAGATCAGTCCCTGGTGCCAAAAAGGCTGGGGACCACTGTCTTAGAAGACTTGGGTGAGATCCTAAAAGCTGCTACATTTGCCTAGGGCTGGGTTTAAGAGGAGAGAAGAGGAGGGACAGAGAATTACCCTAGTCAGAACTTACTGACCAATGGTTTGGGGACCCCGTGTGATCTCTGGGAGCAATTCCACTTCTGAGTCTGCACCCCAGAGAAGTGGAAGCAAGCACTCTTAGATAGACGATTGCACACCTGTGTTCGTGACAGCAATATTCACCATAGCCAAGAGGTGGAAACAACCCAGTATCCGTGGATATAGAAAATGCACTATAGCCACACTGTGAAATATTATTCACCCTCAAAAAGTAAGGCCATTTGTGCCAGGGATTTAGCTCAGTGATGCCGCCTCTTGCCTCACAAGCGTAAGGTCCTGAGTTTGATCCCGGTACCAAAAAAAAAAAAGTAAGGCCATTCTTCATGGTACACATGCATGTAATCCCAGCACTGTGGGCAGGAAGATCACAAGCTTGAGCCCAACCTGGGCAACTTGGTGACTTAGTGAGACCCTGTCTCAAATTAAAAAAGGACTGGGGTTGGAGCACACACACACGCAAAAGATGAGGAAAACTTCGGACACATGCTACAACCTGGATGAACCTTGAGGACAGGGTGCCCTTGGAAGCAAACCAGTCATGACAGGACAAATACTGTACGATTCCACAAACTTGAGAGACCTGGAGCACCATATCAGAGGCAGAGGGCTGCATGGTGCTGGCCAGGGCTCAGGAGGGTGGGATGTGCTTCAGGAAAGGTCAGGATGAAGAGTTGTGTTTAATGGGGACAAAGTTTCATGTTAGCAAGATTAAGAAGTTCTGGTGATGATGGTGGTGATGGTCATGCTGTGATGTAAATATACTTAATGCTGCTGAATTGAACATACCTAAAAATGGCTAAACTGGTAAATTTGATGTGTATATTTTACCCCAACTTTAAAAACGCCTAGGGAGTGGGGTCAGAGGATGAAGCCTGGATCCCTGTTCTCTCTCCCCTCCAAAGGGAGTTTTGGGGACCCCTGTGGTGGCATCACTGCCTGCTTGAGGAGCATTATGTCCTGGGAAGGGCGGTGATGTCTCTGGTAAAACGTGGGGGGTGGTACAGAGATGACTTGGCCTCCCCGCCTAGGAATCTGTCTTGGAGGGGCCCCTTGGCTGCTGGAAGGAGGAGAAGAGGGGAGCTGGCTGGGGAGTTCCAGGACTTGAGCTCCCCTGGAGCTTGAAAGGGCCAGTCTGGTGACCTTCCCCAAGCCCTACCCTGTGTGGCGCCAGGTTTCCATGAGAAGGTTGTGTGGAGCCCTCCAGCCTCGGCATGCGTGTGTTATCCAGCCATGACAAACAGATCACAGTCCTCTCTCTGGCCACATGGAAAGCAGGAGGCATGGGCTGTTTGCTGCGGCTGGCGGGGCAAGAGCCGAGTGAGAAGAGCTCTTGTCCCACTCAGCTCCAGCAGCGGGGCCCTCAGGGTGATGTGGTTCATGCAGGCTCAGCTGCCCGACCCTCATGGGGCCTGCAGGGAGGTCTTCCTGCCTGGGATTGGTTGGCCAGGCCATGGTCAGTGAATGGATGCTCACAGGGGCACCTTAAGTCTAGATGACCCTGCTTTCAGGAAAAGCCCTGACCCCCTCTCCCTGGAGCAGCAGTCCTGGTCTTATCTATAGGAAGTCCTGTTGCCAGGTACTCCATCCAGATAACTCTTAGCTTAAAAAGCTGCACAGCCCATGGAGCTGTGGCCAGGAAGGACTGCCCCTGAGCCCTGCATGGCTCTTAGCTTCTCCTGCTATCAGTTTGCACCCAGGATCACTGCCACAAGTTGGCTCAGGCTTGTCCCTGGGAGAAGTTCCTGTCTGCCATTGTCTCTGTGGAGGGGGGAGGTGCTGGGAGCAGGCTCCCTGTGTGCAGGGGGGGGTGCACAGCTCAGCTATGATGATCAAAGCCCTTGGGACTTGCAAAGAAGGGACTAGGCTGCTCATGGGCCCAAGGTACCAACTGCTGGGCCCCAGCTTGGCTTCTCAGAAGCTAAGGCCAAGGTGTGGGGGCCAGGGAGTGACTGGCAAGAACCAGTGTCCAGAATCTCTGGCATCAGAGCTACCCAGGACTTGGGTTTTCAGAGCTTTGGTGCAAGGTTGTGTGGGATCCCAGAGCCAGCGTGGTGCTAAGAAGAATTTGAACTTAGTGCCTTTAGGTTGCTGGGAGTAGCCTTGTCCCTTGAAGATCTCTGGGGTGTGGGCTGGGGATTTAGCTCTGTGGTTCTGCCACCTGTCTCACAAGCACAAGGTACCAAGTTTGATCCCCAGTACCAAAAAAAAAAAAAGATCTCTGGGGTGGGGTGAGACACACTAGGAGGGTTATGATAGCTCACACTGGCAGGGAACTTTTAATTCTTCATGTGTAATAAAAACTCATTCGCAGGGGCCTGGCACTTAGGGTACTGCTAGTATTCCTGTTTTGCAGCCGCATAGAGAGGCTGGGTGACTTGCCAGAGATTGTACAGCTCTAACTGTGAGAGGTCAAATCCAATGCCAGTTGGCTCAGCTCCGGAATCCAGGCCCAGCGAGACATGTGTGTGGTGACATGGTTTGTGGCCCTCTGGTACTACTTAAAAAAAAAAAACAAAACTGTGGTAAAATACACATACAGTTTACCATTTTAACTACTTTACAGTGTGTACTTTAGTCCTGCTCAGTATATTCACACTATGCAATCAATCTCCTAAACCTTCACATCTTGCAAAACTGAAACTCTACACCCAGGAACAACTCCCCAGTCCCTGGAAACCACCATTCTATTTTCTATCTCTATGAATTTGTCTACTCCAGGTACTTTACCTAATTTCCTTCCTTTTGAAAATATATTTCACTATATGTAAAATCCATCAGTAAGCCCATCTGGGCCAGGTGTTTTCTGTTTTTGAGGGTTATGATTATTAATTAATTTGTGGTATGGGGATTGAACACAGGGCCTTCACACTGAGCTACATCCCCAGCCCTTTTTTATTTAGAGACAAAATCTTGCTAATTTGCTGAGGCTGGCCTCAAACTCTTGATCCTCCTGCCTCAGCCTCCCAGAGTGCTGAGACTATAGGCATATATCCACATGCCTGGCTGAGGATTAATAATTATTTCATTTCTTGAGTGTGTTTTGGAAGATGGTTGTTTTCAATAAATTGATCATATTTGTGAGCATAGAGTTGTTCATTGTATTCTTTTATTATCCTTTTAATATCCATAGAAACTGCAGTGATATCTTACTTTCTGATATTAACAATTTGTAACTTTTTTTCCCCTTAGCCTGGATGAAGTCTCATCAATTCTCTTGATCTTTTCAAAGAAACAGCTTTGTGTTTTGTGGATTTCCTTTATTGACTTCCTGTCTTTAATTTCATTCTTTTACATGTGGATATCTAGTTTTCCCACCACCATTTATTAAAGAGACTTTCTCCTATTGAATGGTTTTGTGCTAGATGCAGTGGCACTCACCTGTAATCCCAGCTATTTGGGAAGCTGAGGCAGGAGGGTTGAAGGTTCAAGGGCAGACTGAGCAACTTAATGAGACCTTATCTCAAAATAAGAAGGGCTATGGATGTTGCTCAGCAGTAGAGTAATTGCTAAGCATGCATGAGGCCCTGGGTTCAATCCTCAATGCAGCAAAAACCAAAGAAACACAAATAACAAGAACAGAATCACAGGATCATATATGTGGGGTTTATCTCTGCACTGTCTCTTTTATGCCATTGGTCTATTTGATTCATGTCAGCACTCCATTGTTTCTATTACTGTAGCTTTGTCATAAAGTCTTAAATCAAGAAGTGTAAGACTTCCAACTTCATTCTTTTTACACATTTTTTTTTTATTTGGGGCATTTTAGGATAGCTTTTTCTTTTTTAAAGTTTTTTTGTTTTTTTGGTAATGGAGATTGAACGCAGGACCTTGTGCTTTTGAGGCAGGTGCTGGAACCACTGAGGTAAATCCCTGGCCCTCCTCCTTTTTTAATTGTGATAAAATACACATAAAATCAAATTCCATATGATGAATGTGATCATTGTGTATAATTAAATTGTACCAATGAACTTAATTTTAAAAATACACATAAAAGAACTCAGGCTAATTTAGCTACTTTGATGAGGAGAACTCCCACAGCCTTACAGCGTCACTTTCACTCACTGTTGCACAACACCGTGGCTATTTCCAAACCCTTTTCATTACCTAGAATAGAAACTCTACCACTACACACCCATTACCCTTCTTACCCTCCCCTGCCCTCAGTAACCTACACCCTACTGTCTGTCTGTCTGCATTTGCCCGGTGGAGAGCTTCCTTAGAAGTGGATCCTAGTGTTTCCCCGGGGCTGTCCATGGTGTAGTCTGTGTCCATGTGTGTGTGCAGCTGAAGATGCCGCCCTTGCAAGCTGCGCTGCATAGTGTGCCCTTAGAACTCTTTATTTCTGTCGAGTTAGTAGTAATGTTAGGATGGATTTTTGTTTCTGCAAAAAAAAAAAGTCATTTGAGGTTTTGATAGGACTTGCCTTGGATCTGTAGATTACTGGGATAGTATAGACATTTTTACAATATCAAACCTGCCAATCTATGACATGGGATCTGTTTCCATTTACTTGTGTCTTTTTCATTTCTTTCAGCAATGCTTTGTAGTTTTCAGTGTATACTTTTTTACCTCCTTAGTTTTATTTGATTTTAAATGGAATTATTTTCTTTGTTTTTTTTTTTTTTTTTGGTACCGGGAATCAAACTCAGGACCTTGTGCTTTCGAGGCAGGTGGTGGAACCACTGAGCTAAATCCCTGGCCCTGGATTATTTTTAATACATAGAAATGGAACTGAGATTTTTGTGTTGATTTCATTATAACTTGGTTGAATTTCATTAGCTCTGTATGTGTGTGGAATCTTTAGAATTTTCCACATAAAAGAGCAAGTTGTCTTCAAACAGAGGTAATTTTACTTCTTTTTTTTTCCTGGTACTGAGGATTGAACTTGGGTCCTTGCGCTTGCACAGCAGGCAGCGAAACCACTAAGCTAAATCCCCGGCCCAACTTCTTCCATTCCAATTTGGATGGTGTTTATTTTGTTTCCCTGCCTAGTTGCTCTGGGTGGGACTTCCAGTGTCATGGTAAATAGAAGTGGTGAGGCTGCCATCCTTGTCTCATTTCTGGTCCTAGAGGAAAAACTGTCTTTCTCCACTGAGTATGACGTTGGCGATGACTTTCCCTACATGGTCTTTATTAGGCTGAGGGACTTTCCTTCTGTTCCAGTTTGCTAGGGTGCCCCTTTGCCTTTCCCTTTTCTCTCTGTCCTCATCCAGGGGTAGGCAAGCTTCGTACCTGCCTCAGGTACTAACCCTTCCTGCACTTGGGGTGCACACCTGAAGGCAGCATTCATTTCCGTCTCTGGAGAATTCACCCAGTTCTCACCTTTTTTCCAGTAATTGCAAACTTTTGTTGAACCCTCACTCTGTGTGCCAGCCTTGAGCATAGTATTTTCCTATCTATTGGAGGTTTCACATAGGTTTTCTCAATTTCTTTCTCTCTTTCCATCCCCCTACCCTCTTTTTTCTTTCTTGGTACATGGGATTGAACTCAGACCTTCAGCTTGAGCTACATTCCCAGCCCTTTTCTGTATTTAAAAACTTTTTTTTGGTACTGGGGATCAAGCTCGGGTCCTTGCGCCTGTGCAGCAGGCATCGAAACCACTGAGCTAAATCCCTGGCCCTGTATTTTTAATTTTAAGACAGGGTCATACTAAATTGCCTATGCTGGGTTCAAAACTTGTGATCCTCTTGCCTCAGCCTCCAAGGTGCTGGAATGACAGGAGTGTGGCACCATGCCTGGCTTGTCTCAATTCTCATGGTAGCTGTGTGGAACAGGAATGCTTTCTGTCTCCCAATTTAGAAGAGGGGATGCAGAGGGGCGTGCCCAAAGCAGAACCAGCTCCCAGTACCTTTTGCCTTTGCAAATTCACCGCAGACTGCTGCTGTTTATATATCCAGCTCTTACTCCACACTGTAGACCCCTGGGAGAGTGCTTCCTGTCCCTCCGGAGCTGGCTCTGATCTAGAGTGGAAGGCACCTCCTACCAGCCCTGATGTCTCCTTTGTCTCTTTGCTCTCACAGAGGTCTTGGGCCTATGTCAAGAACTGCAAAAACAACATGCGTCCAAATTGGGGCTTGGTGACTCAGCTGTTGGAATGGGAGAAGATTGTCCTTGGAAACTTTGTCACAAACATCTCAGATCCGATCTACTGATCTCTGCAGCCCCATGATGGGTGCTGAAAAACCTTGCTTGGGGCTTCTGGTGGGTAGGGGGCCAGAGTGTGTACCCAGGTTGGTCTGGAAGGAGAAGACCTTTGCTGCCATAAGCCTGTGTTCTTCCAGCACTGGTTCTTCCTAGGCCTCTTATTCATATGACATAGCAGGTGCACCTGCTCGGGCCCCTTTAGGACACCCCAGACTACCCCCATTGTGCTCCTGGGGCACCTCTGGCTGCTGGAGTGGCTCCCACATACCCCATGACTCAGACCCTCTGGAGGTTGCCTGGGGGGTGCTTACCTTATGGTGGTCCACAGGAAGTGTCACAGTTCTTACCCACAGGCAGAGGTCCCCAGAGCTCCTGGAATGAGGCCCCTTTCTTGTTGCCAGGCCCAGTGCTCTGACTGTGCCCCTGGAGCACTTGTTATAGATTTCCTTTCTCTGCCTCCCCTCTCCCCTTGCTACCTGGCCACATTCACCAAGGAGAGATCCCACCTCTCCCAGGCCCCACACCTGGGTTTCTAGAAAATTCCTCACATCTTAAAATGCACTTCCCTCGAGCTGGCACCCCTCACAGAACAAGTTAGGAACCGGCACAGACGAGGACGACAGGTGGGCAGTTTAGGATGTCCCCCAGTGTGGGGGCTTCCTTAGGTTCATCCGGTGACTGTGCCTTGCCACCATCTGAGGGAGGTTGGGACATGCTGAGCCTAGGACTCTGCCGAGGCATGCAGGGGTGTGTGTAGGGGAGTCCCCCATCAGAAGAGCAAACCTTCAAGGAGGCGTGGGGTTTTGTCAGCGCCAAGAAGAGCTTTTTGGGCAGCGCTGGTGCTGATCAGAGCTTGGGGTGGACGCAGAGAAGGGCTTTGTGTGCTGAGGGGCCTCCTGGTAGGCCCGGCAGAGCACGTGGGAAGTCTTAAGCATGGCCATGGTTCGACATTAGCGTTGTGTCTTAGGAAGGGCAGTCTAGTGGTTGTGTGGAGGACAGTGGAGTTGGGCCAGGAGGCAGGAAGACCAGTAAGGAGGTGGCTGTAAATTCCAGCTACAGGAGAGGTTTGGAGTCCCTTCCGCAAAGAAATGTAGCTTCCCAAGGACGAAGGCGTTGAGGGCAGGTGTCACCTCCCTGGGCTTTGGTTTGCTTCCAGCATAGCAGGCTGGGACACTGCTGGTGGCCCCACGCGGCTGACTCGGCCCAGCCAGGGATCGCTAGGCGAGGTGCCCAGCGCTCACGTGGCCCCGCCCCAGCCCCACCCAGGGTCCCGATTGGCTCTGGCAGGGGGCGGGGCCAGCGCGCGGCCGGCGCCAGCCCTTTCCCGTTGGCGGCGGCCGCTCGAGCCCGGAAGCGGACGGGGGCGGGGGCGGCCGCGGCGCCTCGGGGTTTCTGGGTTTGCGGGGCGTCCTGGACTCGCGGCTCCTCGGTCTGCGGCGCGACAGCCATGCAGCCCCCGCCCCCGGGCCCGCTGGGCGACTGTCTGCGGGACTGGGAGGATCTGCAGCAGGACTTCCAGACCATCCAGGTGAGCCTAGCAGCGGTCGCCCATTGGGCCGAGCCGCGATGTCCCTTTGGCCCGGGCTCAAGGGTCGGGCAGCCCGAGGTCAGGCTGGGGGGGACGTCCGGGTCAGGGGTCGGGGGTCCTGTGAGCTAGCTTCCAGGCAGCAGTCCTGTTGTCTCACTGCTTCTCCGCTGGGACCCCCACTGTGCTGGGGGGCCCTTGGTCACTCTGGGCCTTGGAAAGAAGCCAGGACCCCACGGGCTCCCTCGCTGTCTGCACCCCAACCCTAGCCCGGACCCCATCCCGGACCCCATCCCGGTCCGCATCCCGGTCCGCTCCCGGTCCGCTCCCGGTCCGCTCCCGGTCCGCTCCCAAGAGAGCCGCTGCCCGCCCCAGAGTTTTGGATCAGTCACTCCGTACATACGCATCCCCGCCCTCGGACCTCCTGGTTGAGCGCTAGAAAGCGGTGTTCGCGAAGGCTCTGGGCAGGATAGGGCGAGGGGCTTTCCTTTAAAGACAGCGCCTGCCCTGCCAGGGAAGAGGGCTTGACAGGCCCAGGTGGCTGCCATCGGGAGAGGAGTGAGCGGGGCCAGACCCTGCAGGGACCCCCTGGGCCTGGCCCGGATCGAAATGTCGCTGAGGCCATTGGGAAGCTGTAGGATGAATTATCTCGATGGGGTTTGTACGTGCCTGTTCTGTCCCAGGCCAGAAAGGAGGCTGCTGGCTTCCTCTAGGAAGGAGAGGGTGGTGGCTGCGTCTTCAGAGAGATGACACATGCCACATGCTGGGATTTGAGGGGGTGTGGTGGCCCCTGGACTTGAGAAAAAATGATCCAGAGTGGATCCCAGGCCAACTGGAGACTTGGTTAGACCTTTGCCTCTCCTGGGCTGGTTCCAGCCCCTTCCTGTCTCCATGGCTGTCCCCTGGTCCTGCCTAGCCAGCTGGCATTAGTGCTTCTCCCCAGAATCACCCAGCCTGGCTGCCACTATGCTAGTCTCTGCTCCTGCCTTGATTTCCCATACTTCCCCTTGCCCAGTCTCCAGGCAGTGCCTTTTTGAGATTGACCCACAAGGGCAAAGTTCTCAGGGAAACTGGCCAAAGGTGCTGGGGGAGGAGAGGGCCTTAGGGCAGGAGGTGCAGGGGCTGAATCCTGATGACCTTTAACCTGGGAGGCAGCATCAGGAAGGCCTGAGCGGAAGGCACCTTGGATAAGCCAGGCTTCCTGTACTTGCTGGCTTGAAGAGCTGAGAGGACAATGGCCCCTTCAAATAGCCTGCTTGGTCCCCAAGGTGGACCTGCGGGGTTGGAACCCAGACTCAAATAGGACAAAGAGCCTGTGTAGGGTTGGAGACAACTGCTCGGTGGCTGGGCCTAAGAAACCTTCATAGAGCCAGCCTGGTGTTGGGGAGCAGAGCCACAGGGGCCTCTGGGCATGCGTGGAAGACACCTGGCTCTGCTCCTGCCTTCGGGGGAGAGCAGCCTCAGAGTGCCCTGGTGGGCACAGCAAGGTCTCCTCCTGGAGCTCACACTGTGCCAGCATCTGTGGCCCACAGCTCCCCACCAGCCAGAGCCTTCTGTGTTTGCCCCAGGAGACCCACCGGCTGTACCGCCTGAAGCTGGAGGAGCTGACCAAGCTGCAGACGAACTGCACCAGCTCCATTTCCCGGCAGAAGAAGCGGCTCCAGGAGCTGGCACTTGTCCTGAAGAAGTTAGGAGCCCTCCGCTGGGTGTGGAGTGGGAAGCGGGTGCTGCCTCGTGGGGTGACCTGGCATGGTCTGTCTGTCTCTGGGCCTCTGGTGCCCTTCTGTGCCATGGGGTCCAGTATGATGCCTGCTGACCCACCTGCCTTGACCCTCTGCCCACCTGCAGATGCAAAGCCTCCCTCCCAGCAGAGGCCACAGTGGCTGTGCAGGAGCTGGAGAACCAGATGAAGGAGCGGCAAGGCCTCTTCTTTGACATGGAAGCCTACTTGCCCAAGAAGAATGGGTGAGCTTCCCCCCAGCTCTAGTCACAGCCCCCTGGGGGAGCAGTTCTGAAGCTGCTGCTTCCCCTTCTAGGTCATGGCCCAAGCAGTCAGCTGCAGTCCTAATTTTGAGGGGATGGCCTGGCTGGTTGACAGCTCACTGTGGGGGAGCCTGGTGGGACATGCAGGCATCACTGATGGTCACCTGACCCAGCCCAGGTCAGAGAAAGCTTCAAGGGGCTGCTGAGCTATGTTCAGGTATAGAGAGCGAGCCAGGGAGGTGGGAAAAGTAACAGCGTATGACTGCACAGGCCCCGGCTGGGAGGTGAGAAGGGGCAAAGAGACCAGAGAGGTCCCAGAGCTTGCAGTCAAATGTGCATGTGGGAAAGCCAGCTGCCCTCCCAGGGGGACGGGCAGGGAACAGTGCACACCCTCAAGCTGAGCAGAACTCCTGGAAGGAGCATGCAGGCTGCAAGACCAGAGAGAACATCTCTGGAAGGTGAGGAAGAAAGGAAGATCCACAGCTGGGGTGAGATGGCCCAGTGTGGGGGGCTTACTGCTGCAGGGGAGGGGTCACTTCCCAGGGTCAGGGGACCTTGAGGACCATTAAGAGGAAACAGGTATTTGGGCTGATGGAGAAGCTGAGGGGACACATCCAGTTTTAGGCAGCTCTTCAGAAGCCTGGCTGTACACAGAAAGAGAGAAGTAGGTAGAAGGTGATCGATGGAAGTCAGTACTGGGTTGGGGCAGCTTTTACTTGGGTCTGTGTGTTACCTTGAAGGGAGGAAAGGCTGAGAGGAGGGACAAGGTAGGGGCAGTAGGTGACAGAGAGAGGCCCTGAGGAGATGGAGGGCAGGTGTAGCCTTTCCAGTGGACGAAAACAGAGGCTTGGAGACTCAGGGATGGTGAGGAGACAGAAGGAGGACACCACTGCTAGGCTGAGGCTGGTGGTGGAGAAGCATTGCAGAGGGTCTGCGTGCATCTGAGGCCACTGCAGGAACAGTGAGGAAGCCTCGAGGTGGCCCAGCAGCAGCCTGGGGGTGGAGGCAGGGCCGGGGCAGAGGTGGGGGGCTACACTGGGAGAGGTTTCCACCCTCATAGTTGGGTTGGAGTCCGAGCCCTGTGATCACCTTTGCAGTCTCAGACTGTCCTTTTGCCACACTGAGGCTCCATCCCCGGGGCCAGAGTGCACACAGGGCCACGCGTTGGGCGCCACTGCTTGGGAAATGTGACTTTGCCGTCCAGGCCTTGGAGTTTCTCTAGCAGAGGACAAGGCAGGCTGGGCTGTGAGAATGATGGGAGTGTGGAGAGGCTGGGATTAAGGGGATTGGCTGGGAGGTGGCTGCACTGAGAGGCCTGGGGATGGCTTCAGCAAGGAGAACTGGGTCGGCACCAGGCAGGTTGAGGGTGGGGATTCCCTGGGGGAAAGGTCCTTGGGCGGGCAGAAAGCAGGCTGGGCATGTGGGGTCCCTGCAGCCAGAGCCCCGAGTTTCCCAGAGGGCCTGTGGGCTGGAGAGGGGGTCCGAGGTATGGCTGTGGGTATGGGGCACCCAAGTAGACTCAGGGCTGCGGTTCCTGGAGTCAAGGCAGCGAAGAGTGTGGGATAGTGACAGAAAATGTCATGTCCCCTGCCCAGACCCAGTGAATGACCCAGGACGTGGGAGCAGGAGAGCAGGGCTTCTCCTGAGGCGCCAGGGTGGGGAAGCCCTGGGCGAGACCTGGCTCAGCCTGGTCAGGAGCCTGGTGGGAGCAGGCAAGGAGAGGGTGCTGACTGTGCACCTCTAAGGGCAGGACCCTATGCCCGGGCCGTGGGAAGACAGCAGCGGGGTGGAGGGGTGCCTCGATTCAGGGCTGGCAGGCTTCCATCATTCCGTGCCTCTCCTCTCAGCCTGTCTCCCTGTTCCCTAGGTTGTACCTGAGCCTGGTTCTGGGGAATGTCAACGTTACGCTGTTGAGCAAGCAGGCCAAGTATGCGCTGCTGTGGGCTGGTCTACCTGGGCTCCCTGCCCCTCTCTGCCTTGACTTCCCTCGGCTCAGCCTTGGGGCTCAGGGCTGTTCTCCCACACTGGCCTGTGTCCTCCTGGGGTGGTGGTGTGGGAGCGTCGCCCCAGGCAGCCCAGCCCGGCCCATGAGCCTGTGCCCCCAGGTTCGCCTACAAGGACGAGTATGAGAAGTTCAAGCTCTACCTCACTATCATCCTCATCCTCATCTCCTTCAGCTGCCGCTTCCTGTTCAACTCCAGGTGGGTGTCTTGCTGCTGGGCTCGACCCTGTGCCCTCCTGAATCTTCTGACCAACGCTGTGTCCCCCTCCCCAGGGTCACGGACGCAGCCTTCAACTTCCTGCTGGTCTGGTACTACTGCACGCTGACAATCCGTGAGAGCATCCTCATCAACAACGGCTCCCGGTGTGCGGGCAGTGGGGCCTGGGGGTGCTGGGTTCTCCCACTGAGGGCCCCTCGCTGTCCTGCAAGGGGACTGAGCGACGGTGGCTTCCTCACGCAGGATCAAAGGCTGGTGGGTTTTCCATCACTACGTGTCCACATTCCTGTCGGGGGTCATGCTGACGTGGTGAGTGGCCGGGCCTGGGCTGCTGGGAGTGGACAGGGCAGGAGCCAGTGTCCCAAGTGCCCACACCTCCCTCCCTCCTCGTACCCCTCAGGCCTGACGGGCTCATGTACCAGAAATTCCGGAACCAGTTCCTGTCCTTCTCCATGTACCAGAGTGAGTGTCTCGGGCTTCCACGGGACCTCTGGCTTCACCCCGGTGGGGGAGGGGGCAGGGCCAGGGCCAGCCCGAGCCCCTCCACCAGCTGCTAAAACCCCTGCCTCCCTCCAGGCTTCGTGCAGTTCCTGCAGTATTACTACCAAAGCGGCTGTCTGTACCGCCTGCGTGCCTTGGGCGAGCGGCACACCATGGACCTCACAGTGGGTGAGTCGGCCAGGCCCATCCTACAGCCCTGGGGGCGGGGCAGGAGCTCGCCCTCTGCTCGGGCCCCAGTGACCGTGCCCCTGGTTACTCTGCCCACAGAGGGCTTCCAGTCCTGGATGTGGCGGGGCCTCACCTTCCTGCTGCCTTTCCTCTTCTTTGGACATGTAAGTCACACGTGTCCCTGTGTCCCTGTCCCCTGCTCTGGCTCTGGGCTCGAGCAGGGACCGGGTCCACTGAGGAAAGTCTCCTGTCCTTTCAGTTCTGGCAGCTATTTAACGCGCTGACGTTGTTTAACCTGGCCCAGGACCCCCAGTGTAAGGAGTGGCAGGTAAACGGGCCGGGTAGGCAGAGGGGACCTGGCTGGATCTGCTCCACCTGGCCCTGTCCTAACCCCAGCTCCCCACAGGTGCTCATGTGCGGCTTCCCCTTCCTCCTCCTGTTCCTCGGCAATTTCTTCACCACCCTGCGGGTTGTGCACCAGAAGTTCCACAGCCAGTGGCATGGGGGCAAGAAGGAATGAGCTGGGCCTTTGCCCTCGGCCCCAAAGGGGCCTTTGACCCTGGGTGTGTTGGGAGGGCTGGGTGGCACCCCCATGTGGTGAGGAAGGTCCCCTACCCTGGGCTTCATGGGCTCTGTGGGCCCTGAGGAAGATCCGGGCTTGGCCCCAACCTGCAGGAACCAGGCACTGCAGCCTCAATAAAGGAAGAGGGGCATGGAGTGGCTGGGCGGTTATTTCTCCTGAGGGTTGGGAGCTTGGTGTCCCCTACATGGCTCTTGGGCTGTGGGACTCCATGGGGTCTGAGGGAAACAGGTCTGGGCAGGTGTCCCCAGGTCTGCTCAAGCAATACCAGGCAAATACAGAAAAGAGAACTTTATTCTAAGGGCCAGAGATTAGTTAAAATTATTTACACTCATTCAAAATCATATGGCAGGGCCAAGCCCCAGCTCAGCTGAGAATAGCCCCTTTTGTACAGCTGCCAAGGGCCCGAGGTGTCACCATGCGTGGGTCCCACACCCCATCCCCTGCGGCTGGGCTGCCTGGGGAGGCCACCTTGGCTCGGGCAAGGGGATGCCTCTCGGGCCTGAAGGAGTCTCTGTCGTGGGCCCGGCCCTGGGTCAGGCCGGGCAGGAGCCACCAGGGGCTGGAGGAGGGAGTGAGGACAGATCACAGGTGGAGAGTCTGGTGTGGGGGCAGGTGCATGGCGGCTCCTAGCTCCACACATCCAAGGAGTAGCGGCCCTTGGTCATCAGCTTCTTGATGTACTCCACCGCCTGGGCGTGCTCCATGGCGCCAAGCTCAGCCGCGATGTCGCAGAAGGTGTTCTGCACGTCCCTGGCCATGTTGCGCGCGTCCCTGGGGGCAGGCAGGAGATGACGGTCAGGCTGGGCAAGGGTTGGCCCAAGAGCAGGCAGCCTGGCGCCTGGCCTCCCCACTCACCCGCAGACATAGATGTGGGCACCGCCCTCGTGGATCAGCTTCCACAGGTGCTCCTTGTCCCTCTTCAGCAAGTGCTGCACATAGACCTGGGGCGGGAAGGTGGCTGGTGAGGGCCCAGGCGCCAGGCCCTGGCTCTTGGCAGCCCACACCCACCCACCCCCACCTCACCTTGTGGGCCTGCTCCCGGGAGAAGGCCACGTTGAGCCCGGAGAGGGCGCCCTCCTTGTGGAACTGGGCCAGCTCCTCGCGGTACAGGTAGTCTTCGTCCGAGCGGCGGCAGCCATAGTACAGCAGTGTCTCCCCTACCTCCTTGCCTGGCAGCAGCGGGCGGGTTGAGCTGCACTCCCTGGCCCGTGCCCCGTCCCTGTCCCCTATTACCCCCCACCCCACACTTACCCTGCTGCTGCAGCCAGGCCCGCTCCTGGATGAACCCCATGAAGGGGGCCACCCCAGTGCCAGGGCCCACCATAATGACTGGTGTGGTGGACTTGAAGGGCAGGCGGAACTGGGACTTGCGCACGAACATGGGCACCAGGGCCCGGCGGCCATTGTCCCCGGCCGGATTCTTGGCCTGCAGCCAGCTGGTGGCCACGCCTTTGTTGATGCGGCCTGACTTGGTCTCATACTCCACGACCACGGCACAGATGTGCACGGAGTTGGGGTGGACCTGGAGGGGGCAGGCCTGGTCACCCGGTCTGTTACCCTGCTTGCCTATATCCCCGTGGCCCCTGTCCCGGCAGCCCGCCCGCCTGCTGCCTGTCCGGCAGCCCTCACCTTGGAGGAGGAGGCGATGGAGTAGTAGCGGGCCTGCAGCCGCGGCAGCAGCTCACACAGGTGGTCGATGGGTGGCCGCAAGGACGGGTAGTCCTGCAGGATGGCCAGGATGTGCCTCCGGGCCTCCACCACCCAGCTCAGGTACAGCTCCTGACCAAGATGGGACATGGGAGGTATGAGGCGGCTGGGCCGGGCCGGGGCTGGGCCGGGGCGACAGTGACAGTGGGGGCACAGGCTCACCTTGCCCTCACCCGAGGACGAGGCCATCTTGCGCAGCTGCTCCTGCTCGGAGGGCTCTGAGGCGTACTGCGCCAGCTCGTAGAGCACGTTGGTGCGTGGCGGGTTGGTGATGTCCAGGTAGTAGGTGAGAGCCGTACGGTAGGTGGTGGGGCAGGGGAACGGGTGCTTCTTGTTGGACTCCTCTGTGGGGAGGGAGGGCGGCTGCGGTGAGTGTCACCCCGGGCGGGGGCCTAGGCCTGTGCTGCAGGAAGCAGGTGCCCAGTGGCACAGCAAGCCCGGTACCCCCTGTGGTGTCTCCTTGGGCTGGTGCAAAGCCTTGGGCTTCTTATAGGACGTCCTTGTCAGGAATCAACGTGAGCACTGATGTGCCTCAGTGGAAGCACAGGGCACGTGGGGCCTTACAGGGTTTGAGAAAAAGAGGCTCCTTTTCCTGCGCTCCACGGGAGCTGATTCTGACACCAGGGAGATGGGACAGCCCCGGCATGGGCCATGAGGACTTGAGTGAGCAGGCCCAGGGCAGGGTTGGGGGGTGGCAGCGTTCACAGCAAGCTGAGCTGGGCAGCCCCACACCTAATGCTTCTTGGTGCCCTGAAGGGACCCAGAAGGGTGGCTGGGGGTCTCCAGCCCCTGCCTTTGGCAGCAAAGAGTCATGGCCCAGGACAGGGGAGCAAAGGGTGGTTGTGGAGCCAGGCTTGAGCCCAGGGCTCGGGCTCCCATGGCTGGGCACCTCCCTGGCTGCTTCAAGGAGCTCAAGCACCCCCCTCCTGCAACTGTGACAGCGATGTGGGTACAGACCCTGCGGGGCCAGAGGGAGCTGATGGAAGGGCCTCGGCTCCTCACTACAGGCCTCAGCAGAAGCCCAGCCATGGGCCGGGTCTCAGGGCCTCGATTGCAGGACTCACCGTCTAGGTTTTTCAGGGACATAACAACATCCAGGTCGGCACCCAGGATCTTCCCAAGTTGGTTGACAAGGTTGGAGTCGTTGGCCGGGTAAATGGCCACATGGTCCCCAGACTCATACCTGGAGGGAGACACACGCTCGGGAGGGCTCTGCACCCAGATAGGGGTGCTGGGGTGAGGGGCTGGGGAGGCAGGAGGCCGCAGGTACCTGATTTTGGAGTCTGAGATGTCTAATTCTAGGTGCATGAGGTATCGCTCAGTTCCCTGGTTCAGCTTCCGGTTGGTGGTGACGGCAGCCAAGAATGGATTCTTGGCATCAAAGGGGCTGGGTGGGGAAAAGAGAAGCTCCATGATTGGCCAGGTCTCTGATCTGAATCTCTCTGTCCCCAGGGGACCCTCTGGTTACAGGGAACATGGAACCAGAGTTGGCTGGGGACCCCTCTGGGCCTCCAAGAAACCTCACTAGTTATATCAAGGACTCTTTCAGCCCCAGACAGTCAGTACTGCCAGCACGGTGAAAGAGGGCAGAGCTGGAGGTCAGTGTCCCCACTCACAGAGGAAACAGGCCAAGCCCTAGAACAGCTATGCAGGGTGGCCGAGAGCCAGGGACGCCATGCTAGACAGGGTCCTTCCTCAACAGACTGCACACCCTCCCTCCCGTGTGTGCCAGGATCCTGCTAGTCAGGAGTTCTGACCCAGCTGGGCTGTGTCCACTGGACTGGCCAGAGCTAGACTCAGTGACACCTGGGCAGCTCCAGCAGGAACCTGGGCAGCTGCCTGGGTACACAGGGGCCCAAGGAGCATCATATTTTTGGAGAAGAAAGTCCTTATATTAAATGGATTACAGGAAATGAGCCCTTTTGCCAAAGCTTAACCTAGACATAGCATTGACCTTGCTGTCCTCAACCAACTGTTGGGCACCAGGGCGTGCCAGAGAGAGATGCCAAAGCAAGTGAAGAAACACAAACGGCAGGGGCGGCTCTCTCCAGAGTCTGCCTTGCCAGCTCCACTGAGGCGGGGGCCCCTGGAGTCCTGGCTGCAGCAGCCGCCTCTCAGGCACTTTCTCTCTGCTGGTCCTCAGATTCTCCTGGGCAGTGGACATGAAAAGATGGGTGCCCCTCTGTGCCCACTCATGGGATGGCCCTGCAGGGGCTACCCAGCTGCCTGAGGTGTGGGGGCACCAGGGACAGTAAGGCCACGAGCCCCCCCCCCCCCGGCTCCCTACTCACGGTTTCTGGTTCTCATAGCTCTTCAGACGGCCCATCTCGCCCGTGTACACCCTGGCCTCGTCGATGTCCATGTGGACCACGAGCTCGTACTGGCGAATGCTGCAGAGGGGAGACCGAGTATGGGATAGAGGGCTGGGGGAACTGCAGGGGTCAGTGCTGCTGTGGACACAGGCAGCACATGTATGAGGACAGGTGTGTTATCCTGGTGACTCTGTAGGCAGGAATGGAAGACCCTGCCCTGGCTCCTGGTATCCTCAGGACCCTCCGGACTCAGTGACTGAGCTTCTGCCGACCCTTCCTCGCCATGTCCCCATTGCCACCTCAGGCCAGGCCCCACTTTGGATGGCTGCTGGGCACAGATCCCCGAGGCCTCCCCACTCACCTGGACTCCTCTCCAGTGGCCTCCACCCCAAAGAATTCACACACGGCCGGCCAGAACTGCTCTCGCCATGTGATGAAGTCCTCCTCCAAGCTGGGGCAAAAGGGAGGGTGAGCCAGGGGGCCAGGTTAGCTTGGACCCTCTCCCTGGGACACCCCTGCCCCAACAGCCACCCACAGTGTTCCTGGGCTCACTTTGCTGGGGCCACCCAGCGTCTATGCCAACCACAGGGGCTTCCGGGTCTGAGCCGGGCTGGCAGTGGAGGATGTGGGGATGAGGCAGAACTGCTCATCTTGAGTTCCAGCTGGCGTGAAGGTTTGTGTCCCGCCTTGGTCCCACACCTGCTCATCCCTGTGGCTCCTCCCCTGTGGTGCAGGCTGGGCCCTTGGGCAGCTAGTTGGGACACTTACTTCCCATCATCATCGCCCAGGCCCAGCTCGAAGATGCGCTGTGCTCCAAGCTGCTCTAGCCGCTGGTCCACGTACTTGCCCATGGCATTGAAGTGCTCATAGGTCTTGTTCCCTAGGCCGAACACCTGTGTGGACAGAGAGGTGGCTCTGGGCCTGGGCCTGGGCCTGGCCTCTGGCCTCTTAGCAGGACGGGATATGGGTGGTGCCCCACAGTGCTGGGTGAGCTACTGGGCAGCCCCTGGAGAACTCTGCACCCACCAAGGCACCTGGCTCTGGCTCCTGAGGTGGCCTGCAGCCCACAGGTGGCCCTCTCCACAGCTGTCCTTGCAGCCTCAATTCTACCTGGC